CAAGAGTTATCCTTTCATCTCTGTGCCTCTAATCCCCTACATCTTATCAGTTGCCAGATCCCTTTTGTTCTACTATCTACTTATGTAGAATTCACATCTGTTTTTCCTATTCCCTCTGCTCCGGTCAAGCCCTCATCATATCCAGACTGGTCTCTGGCCTCTGGTCTTAGCAGCCTCAAGTACAAACTCCAAGTGCCTCAGACTGAAGCCTCTCAGTGACCTGCCATTGGATCTGCAGATGTCACCTGCGTCACCCAGAAGGTTGGGCGCTCAAGGGGACAGAGGGAAATCTGTGTGATGCACATTTGTGTTGCCAGCATATAGCATAGGGCCTGGTACATCGGCTCCACATAAACCTCCACCCATCCCTCATCCATCCTTTCCACATCTGTTCACTGAGCTCCTACTATGTGCAAATACACTTGTAGGTGAATGAGACCACGGCAGTGAACAAAACAGATACTATTGTCCTTACATATGTTGCTTCTTACCCTGATGCATATATTTAAACTTTTATAAAGAAGTTTTGTAAATGTATGGAGTCAAACATATCTGTATTCCTTTATGATTTGTGCTTTTTGTGCATTGCTGAAGATGTCCTTTGATTCTAAAGCATAATAAAAATCTCCCACGGCACAATGATGATTAAGAACTCAGGCCCAGAGTGCAACGACCTGAATTCAAATTCCATCTTGCCCACTAAAGGCTGGGCAACTGAGTATTTAAGGGTATTTAACTCAGGGTTTTTTGGGGGGATTTAAGGGTTGTTTTGGAGATTAAATAAGCTAATACAATTAAATGCATATAGAATTATATCTGATAAGTTGCAAGTTTGTACTATTACTCTGTTCTTTATCTCTCTAATCAATCTGAAATTTATTTTCATTTATGGTGTAAGTTGGGAATCCAATGTTCTGTTATTTTTCATATGGAAAACTAATTGTCACTGAGTCCTTGTTTATACTTTTTCAGTGGTTTCTCTTTGCTCCTGGAATCACAGTACAATTCCTTATCTTAATCTACTTGGCTGTAGAGGACCTGGCCCCCACCTGCTTTCCAGACATCCCTTTTCACTACTCAACATTGCTGTGGTATTGCCGCCCTTGCCTTCTTCGTGGTCCTGGAATATACTGACCTCTTTTCCTCCCCAGGGCCTTTGCACTTGCTCTTTTCTCCTCTTGGAATGTTTTCCTCCCCCAGGTTTTATATGGCTGCTCTGGGTCATTCAGGCCTTCCCTGCCCACCCAATAGAAAACATATCATCCCCTCCCACTCCCACCTTCCCACCCAAACCTAGGCATGATTTCATTACCATTTTACTTACCTCATTCCATCTTATTTATTTTCTTTATCACATTTGTGATCTGAAATTTGTTTGGATAAGTCATTTCTTTTCGTCCCCCGCTGAAATGTAAGCTTCATTGGAACAGCAGGCCTTGCCTGTTTTTTTTTTTTTTAAAGATTTTATTTATTTATTTGAGACAGAGAGAATGAGAGAGAGAGAGAGCACATGAGAGGGGGGAGGGTCAGAGGGAGAAGCAGGCTCCCCGCTGAGCGGGGAGCCCGATGCAGGACTCGATCCCGGGACTCCAGGATCATGACCTGAGCCGAAGGCAGTCGCTCAACCAACTGAGCCACCCAGGCGCCCAGGCCTTGCCTGTTTTATGTACTCCTGTATCCTCAGAATCTAGAATAGTGCCTAGGAAATAGTAGGTACTTAATGATTACTTTATGGAGTAGTCTGTCCTTTTCTTCTGACCAAAACAGGCTTGCTTTTGAGAAGGATTATTCTGCTGAGTGTATGGAAGTTTGATTTGAGGTATCACAGGGATACTTAGGGTGGGAACTGGCTGGACAAGGGCAAGAATGATGGAGAAAGAGAGATCCAGGAGGCCTGGCAGGCTCTGCTGGTTTATGTCTACTTGTGTGAGAAGAGCTTGGTTTGTTTGGCTTGGCGTCTTGGTGTTGGCTGTGTTCAATGCCTGGCATGCTTTTTCTCTGGCCTATCCTTTTGGTCTCATCTGAACTGTAACCTGTTCAGAGAGGCCTTTCTGGACCCTTGCATCCAGAGCGGATCTCCAGAGACTTGGTACCACTGGCTGAGGTATTGAGCTATGAGCACCCTGAGAATTTAAAACATGTGTATGTCAAGCATTTCAAGGTAAGCACTGAGGCCATTAAAGTGAGCTCCAACGAGGCAGGAGTTTTTCTTCAATCATCATAGTGTTTCGGCAGCTGGTGCACAGTAAGTGCTCAGTAAATATTTTCTTTCTTTTTTTAAAAGATTTTATTTATTTGACAGAGAGAGAGAAAGAGAGAGCGCGTGCAAGCACAAGCAGGAAGAGAGGCAGGCAGAGGGAGAAGCAGGCTCCCTGCTGAGCAGGGAACCTGATGCGGGACTCGATCCCAGGACCCTGGGATCATGACCTGAGCTGAACGCAGACGCTTAACCAACTGAGCCACCCAGGCGCCCCTCAGTAAATATTTTCTGAATGAATCATAGAAGATGGTTTTTTCTATGGTTTCTTTTGTTTTCCTGTTAACTTGTTTTCTACTTTGAGGTTGCACATTTATTTATTTTTATCCTGGACCCGAGCATTTAGAGCTGTCCGCTTTGAACGACTTGTCTGCTTTGGAAGACAGTTCTGCTGGGTTGTAGTGCTGCTTATCTGCTTGTCAGCCGTTTCCCTTCCTCCCCTGGCCGCTGCTTTTTGAGCTGGTCTCACTTGGAGGCCATGGCTACTTTGTTACTCTGCCATCTCTCCAGAAATTCACAGTCACAGAGCAGGGTGGGGAAGAGCTCAAGGGTAAAATCCTAAGGGCTTGTACATGCTAGTCCAAGACAGGCTCATTGGACTATGGTTGATAGAGAAGAGTGAGAAGTCAAGACGGATCAAACATTTATGTAGTGCTTGCTGTGTGCAGGAAACTGTGGTATATACCACGGGGGACACTTCAAAGCTAAAATGTGCCCCTAAGGGCACCTGAAGCAGCTGGGAAAGATGCACTGCACTCCAGGATGATCACATTTTGAGATGGCATCAGGACCTACAGATGGAGAAATCTTGGAAACAGATGTGATGCCTGGTAGACAGTTGGCTTTGGAGTACTCGAAGGCCAGCTTTGAGATTTTAAGAATCATCTAGGATGAGAGCAAATATTCGTAATTGTGACCTTAAAGGTACCGTTGGGTCCTGAATCGTTAACAAAAATAAAAAGAATCACAGAGCAGATTGTATTTACAGAAGTAGAAAGACCAATGAACGACTTTTTTATTTTTTAAACAATGACAAGAAAGGGTGGACTATGTCATGCTCACCTTAACTAGGGTCCCAGAATTCCCCACTTCCTGTAATGAGTACTTGTTAGATATGGCCTATGGATGTGTCTAGAATTGACAGTGTGCCTCTGACGGGATTGCAAAGACCACTCTAGTCCACAGGTGATGGAGAATCTTCCAAATTGCTCAGCTCTAGAACTTCAGTTTCCTCAGGTAGCGGAAACCTGGTTCTGTGATGCAGAGACTCAAAACAAACTTTTTTTTTGAGAGCGAGCGAGCGAGCGAGTGCACGCGTGGGTGGGGGGAGAGGCCGAATCTCCAGCAGACTCCCTGCCCAGCGCATAAGCCTGACGCGGGGCTTGATCTCACAACCGTGAGACCTGAGCTGAAATCAGGAGTCAGACCCTTAACCAACTGAGCCACCCAGGCACCTCTTTTAGCTCTAACCCTCTGCACACAGAGTGGAGTTGGGAGAGGAAATTCTCCCTACATGGTGAGCAATGAAGCAGGGGCTTGAAACCAAGATGGCCGGGCCCTTCCTGCATTTGCCTCCAGGCTGTCATCACTGCCCTGCGTCAGGCACGAGAAAGCAAAGGTGGAGAGGGAGCCGGGCTCCTTTGCCGCAGAGCAGGGTGGGGGCTGGAGGGAAGCAGGCAGGGCCTCGGTGAAGACACAGCAAGCATTTGCCGATGAGGTAGAGTCGGCAGGATGCCTCTGATCCCTCCTTTGCCTCCCCCACCCCCCGGTACTCCCAGCGGCCTCTCCTAGGTTTGTAGTGCCCACGGTGACAATTAAGGGTGGCTGCGGCTCAAGACTGATAGGCAGCAGGTTCCTTAAATCATGAACGATCCTAGGAGCAGTGGGCACAGTAACCTAGAGGGAGGAGTTAGTTCCTTAGAAGGGAACAGATCAGCCCTGCAGAAACTGAGAACAGGGTATGTATCATTGTGCAGATGGGGTGGAGAAGGAGGGAGCAGGGAAAAGGTCCAGAGAGGAGGCCCAGGTTTTGTATGTGTGTGTGTGGGGGGGGCGTCTAATAACAGGCAAGGTGTGGGTTTGGGGGTACTTGGAGTTAAAGGGCCAGATGTAAAGGAGTCAGGAGCTTGCCAAAGAAAACCCTTGCTTCTCCTTTTGGCGCCAAGGCCAGTCTCCAGTTATCAGGGAAGGGGACAGCCAGGGTCACTGATATAAAACTCTTTGCTCCGAGATTCCTGCTGGGGTTACAGCCCCCTCAGCCATCAAGCAAGTGGGTTTTCCTCATAGGCTGGGGGCATTATTTGCTGTCAGGTTGCCTTTCTTCACAAGAGTGGCTAGCAGTTGGGTAGACATCGGCACAAATTTCCCAGGCTTGTGAGGATGGTCTGCTGGCACTTCCAGAGCATTTAGCAGTTATTTGCGGGGTACCGTGCTCAGTGCCTCATTTAATCCCCAAGACAACCCTGTTAGTAGGTTCTGTACTACTACCCCTCACTTTATATGTGGAAATGGGTATGGAAAAGTCCAACAGCTTCCTCAAAGTCGTAGTGGAGCTGGGACTCAAACTCGGGTCCTTTCCTGCAGTTTGCGATTCTAACCACTACGCCTGGTCATCGGGCACATCCTCCGTCCTGGCACTGTGGCGAGCTGACTGCTAAAATCCCGCAACTCTGGTTATGCTCTAAGGCATATACACTAGCATTCTTGACATTCCCCAAAAATTCCCAAATGAATTTTAACAAGCTTTTATATAAAACTGACTTTTATTGCAATTTAAAAAGAACAAAGACAATTTGATAAGTGCCTTTAATTACAATGTACCTGCTATTTACATGTAATTATACTTTTATACACAGCATGATTAAGGTTCATTACATGTAAACTATAAGATATTACAAGTTAAACTCCAACCTTTTGGGAACATTCAGAATAGAAATACTATGGGCAGAAATACACAGAAAACAAATACCCATTTCAGTTCCTTACGTACCAATACTGGATGAATGATCAAGATTTGGCCACAGAAGAGAATTGTAATTATGTGTTAAATGGAAACTTATTCTTAAGATGACTAACAGTATTGCTATTATTTAAACCCTAAACATAATAACTGGATCATTAAAAACAACACAACTTTAATTTATATAGCACCTTTCTTCCAGAGATAAAGCATTTGTATTTATATTATCTTATTTGTCCCCATAACATCCATATGAGGTAGGCAATGGTTGGTATCATTATCCCCATTTTGCACATGGAGAAACTGAGGCACAGAGTAGTTAAATCATTTGTTCAAGGTCACACGATAAAGTCAATGCTGGAACAGGGACCACAGAGCTGTGAGCTCATCTCTAAATCCAATGCTTCTCTTTTAAGTTGTCCTCTCTGAGAATTTAATTCAATACCTTAATTCACTTTTCCAAGAAAAAAATGCATTTTTTTCTCCCATAAAAATTGTTGAAAAACTATACTATAGGCAAGAAACAAGCACTCTGGGGCGGATGATAGGTTGATGACACACTCTTTTAGTGAAGTCTTTTTGTTGGCTTTTTTTTTTTATGAGGAGTTTCTTTTCCCAGTTACAACAAAGTAGGTGTTTAAATGAAACATATTTGAAAGGATGTATCTAGTTACCCATAAATTACAGCTGTAGTAGCCATATTATGCTTTTCACAAACCAGGCTTATTCCTGAGTTTACAAAGAAAATATCTAAAAATAATTTAAATCTTTGAGGTCATCTTTTTCATTTCTACATACTTACTATTTGCTCCTTAAGCAACTCAGGAGTGGTTGACAGGGAGCTGGGATAATACATTTCCCAGAGAAGCACACCAACTGAGTGGGGTGGGAAGTCTTGCCCATCCACTTAGTTCGAATTTTGGGTCCAATCCCTGTCCTGCTCACCAACTCCCTCACCCCCCAATCAAATATGTAGTTGGTACTCCGAAAAATTTTTTAAATGTCAAAATCTGAGGCATAAAGGACTTCTCGAATGCTTGTTGACTTGTACATAGAAGTCAGCTTGTCTGGCATTTTTCACATGCTCCTCCCTAAGAGGCAAGCCCGGCTAACAGTGCGGCCACATTGCCGGGACTCCAGGAGGCAGTCATGGAGTAGCCCATTGGAATTGTTTCTAGCATGGCTCCAGGAAAAACAAGAAAAGCCTATACTCAAAAAATAAGTGCAAAAAAAAAAAAGGCAAGCAGGCTTACAGGATAGGTCATGAACATCATCTCAGATTCATTTATGGGCTTTACATTAAAAATACATAAAAATGTGTCAAAGGAATATTCAGAGACAGACTTGGCTTTTGGTTTTAGCCTCTTCACCTATAGAAGGACAGGGCTGTCTTTCAAGGAAGCCTTTACTACCTAAATGGGATCTAAGATTAATTTTTTTTTCTCCTTCAGTTTAAGAAGGGAAAAAGAAAGTTTGTTTTAAACTGATAGTTTCCAACTTGTTAACAAAACCAAACCAGACATTCCAACTGTGAGTTTGAGTCCTTGCAACAGAACTTAAAGTTCTCTTCCACGGCCCCCTAGTGCCAACCATTCTCATGACGGAGGTGGGGAAGAATGAACATGGTTTAGCAAAGCCCGTGCAAATAACCCAGCATCTGCTTCCCTAGGTGGGCCTGTGGCCTTGTCTCAGCAGCCTGTGACACGGGAAAATGTGAGTTGGGCAGAGCTGTCTGCTCACTGGGTGATGGCGGGGAATGGATCTGTGATCGCAGGCAGGATGTGTGATCTGTGTGGGTTGTGTCCACATCGGAAAAGATGTGTGGGAATGTGCCACGAACAGCAGAGCGGCTGGGTGGGGAAGAGGAGCAGGGGGGTGCTGTGCAAAGTCGCAGCAGGAACCGAAGTGAGATGGGGAGAAAGAGTAGCTTCACGTCCCCGTGTTGCAGACTTGCTCCCTAAAAGGCCCAGAGTAAGGCAGGGGAAAACGTTCCAAGATGTTGAAGCCAATAAGAGAGATTTTCAGACTTAAAATGAAGGTTAAAAATTCCGAGTACTGGAAACAATTTTACCACTCTTTTGTGAATTGGACAGTTTGACCGTGACAAAGACCTCCGGAGACAATGAGTCCAAATGCTACTGTCATGGATTATTTTTGAGCAAGAGGAGCACTTTGAAGCTGATCAGGACAACCTAAGAGATAATAGGTCATTTTTTTGAGAAACTATTTTTATGAGGAAAAAATGCATGAACAATGAAATGCAAATTCCTATTTGTTTAGCTATATTTCAAACTTTCCCTGAAAACATGAGGTGCATTAATAATACATATTTAAAAGGTAACATTAAAACTGTTGCCAATCTAACACAGAAGTCTGAGGAATGACCATTTACCAGCCTTTATAATCCATTACATAAGGTGATCTGAGACAACCAGAGTACATTTTTTAAAAATACCCATAGCATATAAATGGTGAGCAAAGAAAAATTAATTTAAATGCATCAAGATAAATGATTACCAAACTGAATGCTTAAAAAATTGCCCTTTTAATAAAAATTGTAACATTTCTCATTTCATCTGGCATTAAGAGAAATCTGAATTATTTCTTAGTTCAATAAAGAAGAACCTGGAAAAACAATGAATACTTTATAAATATCAGAGACTGGATGTAAACAGACTTAAAAATGAACAGTAGGGAAAAAAACACTTATGAATGAATATCTGTTCTCTTCTGGACCACGGCTTTTTAAATTTACTTTCATAATTTCAGATGAAGACTAATTTAGCATGGTTTCTGGACTGATCTCTTTAATTCAAACACTTTCTATGTGTGTTCAACTTGTCCAATGCCACTGTCAAGAATAATGTACTTAAGAAAGGTACAACACAGAGGCAAGAAAAGACTACCACAGGACAAGGAATATAGATTTCACTGCCAAAAAAAAAAAAAAGCCATATTTGATATTATAGACACATGTTCCTATTTTTCACATCAGTCACTTATTAACACCAAACATTACACTTTAACTTCCCCCAGTGACACAGTACAATAAGCCTGTCAGGATTTCCAGGAAAGAACCATCAGTACCTACTGTGCCTCCAGCAGCCCAGACGAAGCTGGCTGGGGACCAGAAGCCAACACTTTCAGAAGAATGGCATCACTAGATCACACGGACTCATATTAACTAGTACAAGGAACACTGAAAAAAAATGTCATTTACTCATTTACAAAATCCTACTTGAGTCCTGAGCTGCGGCTCCGTGATTATCCACGTCCCCACCTCCGAGCCATGTTCCGTCCGTCATACTACCTCATTGCTTGCTGGCTCTGCGCTAAACTCTCGTGGCTTCCAAAGAGAAGGAAAGACAATGCAACCGAGTGATAACAGACCTCTGCTTCTGCCACCCGGTGGGGGGTCACCTTGCTGGGGCTCCATCCTGGCTCACGTGGCTCTTGGTGCTTTCTGCCGGATCTCTTCTTGACATGATCTCTGAGAAGGACACCTATTTACATTTCCTCCTGTCATGTTGAATATGTAATGAGCCACACATATGAAAAAACTACTTTAAAATACCACTGTTTTTCAGCTAAGAGAATTATGGATGCAATTTAGAATCTGAATTTATTAGAAAAATGATATGAGGTAACTTAGGAAGGTTTTCTTGTAATTACTAAATGAAAACTATTGGATAGCTTTTTTTCTATTCTGCTTTTATGACAATAGTCATCACACTAATAGGGTAGACATTGCAAATACATACTAGGATGTATCCTCACTAATCAGGCACCAGAACAACTTTAGATATGTCTATGTGTGCTTATGTAAATATATATGTATAGTATACATACACACACATGCACAGTTTGTTACTGGTTAAAGTAAATAAATGCTCTAATTGGCAAAAGGAAATCTAATATGAGAAATAGATCTAGTGACATCCTGAGGTTAAATTTTAGTTCTTTATGTGGACTACCTATTGTTAGCACTCAATTAAAATTAACTCTTGGATTTTGAGATAAATCAGATAAATCAGTAATTAGTCTTTTCCCCACAAAGGACAGCAGTACTTTCAAAATCTTTAGTAGACCTAATGATGCAGTTTAGTGCAGGACTGGAAAAAAAATGTATGTGGCCCACATATTATAAAAAATTGCTTTCTTCTAGAATTTAAGATTTCCTCAAACATTTCACATAAAACAGGTCATTCTCTCCTGCTGACTGCATTTGAGAAACAGTAAAAGCAGCATAAAAAAATCTTCTAAACTTTCAAAATATCTGACTAAAAGCAAAGATTCTACTTTTAGGCAAGATGAGTTTATAATTCTGACTTATAAAACAAAAAAATTTCCAAAAGCTTATTTTAATTGTGAGATTCCACATAACCTAAATGATAAAAATGCATAATAATAGATGTCAAAGTTGAATAGTAAAAAATTTTTTATAATTACCTTTTGTGCATTTAGCTGAACTTGAAACTTTTTTCAAGAAGCCATAGGCTTTTGTCCAACTCAAAGACTAGCACAGATTTTCAATGAATAAAGTAAAAAGTGATGACATTTATGAAATACTGTACTATAAGGTCAAAACCATGATGATGCATCAGTAAATATACTTCCATAAGGTACCTAATGATCTCAAGAGCAGAGCCAGCTCCTCAAGTTTACTCTGCTTCTCTCTCCCTTAACCCTCAGGGATTGTGCTATTACTTTTTCTTTTAGGATTTGTACTGGAGGGCCTTCTAGTTTCTTCTAAAATATACTTACAATCCTTTAAATCGCAACTTATTCTTAGCACAGATTCTCAAATCAAGAGAGAGGTTTCAGTGCATATTTTATGGCTATATAATAGCCTTTATTTCGGAACTTCTGGGGGAAATTCTGATAATGAAATTTCAAGATGATAGGACTATAAAGAACTTTTGTCTCTAGAAATGATTTTACACTTTAGAGATCATATTCACTTCCCTGGCAATAAGTAAAGACATTATGGAAGACAGTAAGACTTTTGAGCGGTCAGGTGCTCATAAAGGACATTATTGCAGCAAGCACAACACTAGGTATGCGATGTGACCTGGCCATCAGCAGGAGCTAAAGAAACCCCATGGTGTAAGAGATTGGTGGGTCAAACTCATTCATACTAAGTAAGCAAAGAAAATCACCAGGCAAAAACAGTGCTCACGAAAGATACAAATTCAGAGAGCAAGGACCTTGGCACCTTCCTGGTAACCTTTCCCCCAACCCAACGGTATTCTGCCATCTCCTTCTAGTCAGTGATGATTGTGCTTAGGCTCATGAGGTCTTCATGGGAGAGGCCAGGCTGACTGCAAACTACTGACCACCAAGCAGCTTACCCCGGCAAAGCTGACTTCACAATTGCAGAAATGTATTACGGAGCAGTCACAAAACCCAGCCACGAATGCGAGGGGTGGGAAAGGCATGCCCATGAGCTGGTCCCTACCATTTGCAGGATCCTTCGTCCTCCCGGTCGCGTCCTTTGTCAGAAGGAGTGAAAAGTCTGACAAGCCAGAGACGGCACAGCAGTACACGATAATTGCCTCTTTTTTTTTTTTAAATCAGTGTAGGCAAGGGTCCCTTGCTATAGCCACACCGCATAATAGCAGGGCCCTTTTCAGACGAAAAGTGAACAAGTTTCCCAATGTCGGCCTTATAAAATTTAAAGAGATGATTAAATTCAAACCAGGCTGAGCTCTTAATAGGAGTTATTTCAGCCACTGATTTTTGTAAAATGAAGGGAAAAAAGAATCCCAATAGGCAATTTGCATTTGCAAGCACTGGATTGCAGAATCCACCACTGTAAATTTTCTTAAAAATGTAGCTAAATCTTAATGGAGTTATAATACCTTCATGAGGTTAATAATGCAGTCATCCCTAGTCCTATTTCATTCTTCATTTTTTTTTTTTTACCATTTCAAATATTTCAGTATAGCCCACCTCAAATCACTGAAAATGATCATTTATGTTCATTCCACTTATTTCTCTAGTGAGCCAGATGACTTTGACCACGGCTCCAAGTACCATTTGAAAAGCCTTTAAAAACCTTCAATATTTTAAACACTTGATTAGAAAACAGACAACAACTACGTGTAATTACCTAGCTTATGTGCTTTATGGTTTTTTTTTTCAAAATGAGTATAAATCATTGTACATAAAATCAAAATAGTTAATATACATTTTTTTCTGGCAGTTTCTAGAAATTAGGCGTTAAACCTAAAACATCTTATAAATTTATATAACAAAAATAAATGTTTACATTTTAATTTTAGATTACCTTAGGGTAGCAGTTCCCTTAGGAAATCTCACACGTTGGTGTGGCAGCAGGGGTCATCAGAAATACACATTCAAGTCCACAGCCCTTCAGAGACGGACGCCATGGCTGCCGTCCAAATATGTGGTCTGTGTCCCAACATAGAGATTAAGGCTGTTTCAGAGGAATGAACTCTGGGCTAAAACAAGTATAGAAGTACCACAATATTCATTGAAAATACTGAAAAGGCTCTGAAGAGTTTCACATACTGGGGGGGAGGCGTGTGGGGAGGGAACCGCTTTGACTAGAAAAATAAAATAAAGCATCTAAAAATGACTTCAAGTACTTTGGGAGAGGCTGCTGATGTGGAGTGCCCAAATCAGGAGGAAGGAAGGTCTAAGAAGCTTGGGGGCGGCGGGGGGCAGTCCCAGTCCTGCCCACCTGCAGGGTCCTTTTTTTTCCCAGGTGCGGCTCTTAGAAGAGGATTGGGGAGCTGCCAGTGACCAGCAACCACAGTTTCTTACCATCTTAAAACACCGAAGTTGAAGGCAAAGGCCAAGCCTTGTGGGGGAATTTTCTTGGAATGAACCATTAGAAGTCGGAAGATTTCAAGGGGGAAGAAAGCCGTACATTTAAATGTGAGGAGCAGATAGAAAAAAAAAAAAAAGGGAAGAAAGGCAGAAAAACCTGGCTCTTGTGAATGGCAGTATGTTAGGCAGGTGGAGTCGTGGTTCTTGATGAATGCGGTTCTTCCTTGCAGCTCGACTTTCCTTACTCACAGGGTGAAACCACGGACAGCTGAGATCTTTCCAGAGGGTGAGGGTGCACAAGGGAGATGTGCTTGGGTGTGCAGTGCCCCCCGGCACGCAGGGGCACACTTGGGTGCAGTCAGGTACGTACCTCACTGTTTCCAACCCCGGGAAACAGTCTCCACATCTTCAATTGTCGTCGGATTACTAGAGCAGCATATAAAGTAGGGGTTGATGTCGCTTCTTGTCTTCCACAGAAGAAATGCCCCCCAACCGGCCGATCGTATGTTGTGTGGGCCTGTCTTCTGGGTTGCTAGAGCCTGGTGATATCTCTGCATTGCTGCAAGTCCCCAATGCTCTCATAGTCATTCTCTTTTGGGAAAAGGCCACGTTGGCCGTTGGTCTCTGGGGTGGCCTTATCTTCCTCTCTGTTTAGAGTTTGTATTGCTTCGTAATCAGGCTCGGGCTCCTCACTGGGTCTTACTGCTGGTGGAAGTGTGCTGACGCTGTTTGGAGTTTTCTCCAAGTCTTTAACAGTAGCGTAGAGATCATTACAGGAAGAGGGGGATCTCTGAGTGGCTCTTTGGATGGAGGTGTAGCTGGACTCCGGTGCTTTAAGAGACTGTCCTGATTTACTCCCTGACTGTCCAGGTTTATTTACTGATGAATACATGGCTGAGATCTAGAAAACAAAGGGTGAATTAAATAAACTTCAAGTTTGACTTCTCCTTCCCCCTTTATAGTGACAAGCTAGATATTTAGCTCTATAGGCAGGTGTGTGTCCCTTTAAGGTTGTGGGGTTTTTTTGTTTTGCCAATTTTCCCAGCTTTAGTGAGGTATCACTGACATATGACTTAGGTAAGTTGAAGGTGTACAACATGGTTATTTGACACATATATATACTGTGAAGTGATTATTGCCAAGGTTAGTTAACTCCTTCATTGCCATAATTACCATTTTTTTGTGTGTGTGGTGATAACATTTAAGATCTACCCTTTCAACTTTCAAGAATGATAGTATACTATTTTTAATTATAGTCACTATCTTCTATATTAGAGCCCCAGAACTTATTCGGCTTATAGCTGGGAGTTTGTACCCTTTGACCAACATGTCCCCATTTCCCCTACTCCCCAAACCCTGGCAACATTTGCTATTTCTGAGTTTGGCTTTTTTAGATTCCACATGTAGGTGAGAACATATAGTATTTGTGTTTCTCTGTCTGACTTATTTCACTTAGCATAATGCTGTCAAGGTCTATCCAAGTTGTCACAAAAGGCAGAATTCCCTTCTTTTTCACGACTGAATAATATTCCTGTGTGTGTGTGTGTGTGTGTGTGTGTACACGTATTGCTATATACAAATGTGTATTTATAATGTGTGTGCGTCTGTGTCTATCTCACATTTTCTTTGTCCATTCATCGGCTGATAAACACTTAGGTTGTTTCCATGTCTTGGCTATTGTGAATAATGCTGCAAAGAACATGAGGGTGAAGATATTGTCTTCAAGACAGTGATTTCATTTCCTTCAGATATAAACCCAGAAGTGGATTCTTTGTTGCCTGTACTAATCCTGGAGTATACTTCTAGAGAACAATTTTATATGGTATCTTCAACTTTGCAAGTAGACCAGCCATATTGGCACAACTCCGTGAAAACCAGGTTCTCTCTGGGTCTTCTGAGGGGCGTGAGGAGAGCAGGCGGAACAGGAAGTTCAAGAGGCCCCTGGGACCTGACTACAGTGTATCATGTTTTATCCGATTTCTATTATCAGAATGCTATTTCACATGAAAAAGAGCTCTACTGCTTTAAGAAACAAGGGCAGAAAATATGTTAGATGAATGGTTCGCAAAATGTGGGCTTCGAACTGGCAGCAGCAGGATGTGGGAATTTATTAGAAAGGTTAAGTCCTCGGGCTCCATCCCAGAAGCACTGAATCAGAAACTCAGGGGCATGGGGCCCAGCACGCCCACTAAAGTATGAGAACCACCGAATTAGACTCTCTGACCCACTCTTTCCGCATCAAAGTGGTCTGAAAAGTAGGTCCTGGATTCTGGTTGGCAATACACATAGATCTGTAAAAGCCTCATTTTCCATTAATTTTCAACTTCATAGCATATTACTGGTTAAATAGACATTTACAGACAGGGCTAAGTTTTCTTCAGTGGGAAAAATTTATTTTTATTTGCAACCAGCCAACTCAGAAATGAAATTTGGAGACAATTAACTTACAGGGCACTCTTTCCTATGGGAAAAGTGGGCTACTTTCCAGGCACACCTACTCAGTCTTGCTAATCTACCCCATATAACCTCTACTATCAAGAGGGATTTAATTCTCGTTGGTAATGATAGATTAAACATACTGATTAAGAGATTTTTTAAGAGATCTTTTTGAGGGTTATTATTTTATTGTTAGAAATCATGGTTGGAAATAAGTAGAAATATCCTTCATTACCTCTATTTATCTGGGCCATAATCACTGATTGATTCAAAACACCCAGGAAATACATGAACATGCCTACTGACAGATGCTTGGCTTCCCAAGTGCAGAGAGAGATTCTTTTGCTTTCACATATCTCACATACTGTGGATGAAGTTTCCAGCTGGCCTCAAAAGCTTCTCAAGACAGGCCTGCCACGCACACACTAACTGGTCATTTGCATGAGAACTTTCCACTGCAGCCTGGGGGCTCTGTTTTGCCAGGCCTTGACAATCCAAACATTCGGAGCTAGAGAAATAATCTCCGGGAAACTCTTGCCATGTTGCTCTGACCCTTTTAATATTAGGGTATTAATATTAGGAATTATTTAAATTGACATTCTCACCTTAGAGATTTAGTGGAAAAATTACTCTTGAAATGAAGATTTAGAATTTCTTTGAAATTAGGAAGAATTAAAGTAAATCACCTGCTTTTCCTAGTGAGGTGCAAACATATGGAACTGAATATCTAAAAGGTGGTCCAAATAGATGGTGGTAAATCAGAGATGACAGTGAGAAGGGGAGTCCGCATACTAGCTACACACTCTTCACCTTCAGGGGGAACATCAAGGACGAACACACCTTTACCTACATTGTAACAGTGGGGGTTGGCCCCTTTCAGCTTCTCTCCTCAACTCTCTTCCCCACAATGCCTGCCATTAATGCCCCTACTCTTTATAATTACTTGGGTTTTCTTGGCCTTTATATTCTTTTTAGAAAGTTACAGGCTCTTTTCATTAACTTGCAACTTCATATTATCTCTGGGCAGGAACCTACTGTGCAGATGATGTCGTAAATTTTAACACTTATAAAAGATTCTCAAGTCTTCTGATATTCTATTTGAGTATTTGCCTTCTAGGACTATTACTTCTATTTTGTAGATAGGTTCCTTTCAAGCCCCCTTGCTATTTAGCTTCACAATTTTTCTCTTTTAAATCTTTCATCTTTTTTATTCAGGCTGTAAATTGTTATTATGTTCTCATAAATTACTCTCTACCTTTTCCCCATTTCTCTTTCTATAAGCAACCCTTTCCCCATCATTCTGCGAAGTGGGGATAATAGTACTGAAAACTCAGATCTCAGTTTCAGTCTGGACTGTCTAACATTCTATTACATAAATACAGAAATAAGTGACTTCCATAAATTATTTTTTCTAAAACATCTTCCTAAAATGACTATATGTGAATCACAGTTCTTTTAATCTATGTTAAAAATTCATCAGTATACCTAGGTCCTATTTTCTGAAACCACAAACAATGTAAGATTAGAAGAAAAGGAATTTAAAATTTTACTTGTCTCAACATATTTTAAAGGACTGGTTTCCAGATCTCTCATATATTCTACTTTCTTGTCCCAGGTGGGAGGGCTGTGGTGCAGTGTGGACAACAGACGGCTGGGAGAAGGCAAAGGAGCGGCCACAGGCCTGGCAGGAGGCTACACTGCCTTAGTCCGGGGAGGGGTGGGCACTGTGCCCACGGAGAGAGCGGTGTGAGAAAGAAACCAGGGGAGCTGCGGACAGTGAGGAAATGGGGTGTCTACGATGATGTCCAGGGTTCTGGCTTGTGCGACCAGGTGGAGAGATGGCAGGTCCATTCCTTGGGGCAGGAAACAGAAGCAAGTGGGCAACATTACCTACGGAAAGCTCTTCTGCTCTTTGAACTTCCAATGTGGGATTGTAGTCTATTTCCTATTTTAATACTCCGTGCAAAGTGCGATAGGAGGGGATGTACCTGCATATGTATGTCATTTTTGTACATGTACCAAATTTATCATGCTAGGAATTCCAGACAGAAGCTATATGCAGCTAGATAAATTAAGGTGTTCAGCTCTCTGAGCCTAGCTTGATGTTATATGTGTGTGTGTGTATGTGTGTATGTGTCTGTGTGTGTGTGTGTGTGTATATACATATATATGTATGTACATAATGGATTGTATAAGTTTAACGTGTCACTGAGAAATCTAATCGGTGAGTCTTTAGCCCGGTACTTGGGCTCTCTCCCGTTGGCTGCTATGTCTGACTCTTGCGCCAGCCTGGAATTGTACTTCCTGGAGCTACCTGCTCTCGGCCTCCGAAATTCCTCATTAAAACCTTCCTCCTCCATCTCCCAGGCTGGATTAAATTCCCTATACCCACCCGTTCCAATTTCCTGTATTTTCCAACCCATGATTAATTTCCTTACAGGTGATCTTCCTGGCTGCTCAACTAAATCTCTCATACTTAAATTTCTCTCTTCTCATTCTATTTTCTCCCCTCCTCTATTTTTTTTTTTTTTCTGATGCTTCTTTCCTACTTAGTTTCTTTTACTTAGGTGACCTGTTCATCCTGTCTTCCTTCTTGTCTTACCATCTGCCAGTCACTCTCTCTGAACCATTATAAAGCCAACCTCCCCAAACTCTGATCTCCAGACATATGCCAAAGAGAGTATTTTAGCTTTTTCAGAGAAGGGTAATGTGACAGTCATTTATGCAAGGAGAGAAACTCTATTCTTTAGAGCTTTGTGGTTATTTTTTAAAAAGCAACAAAACTCACCTCTTCTTCTGTGAGAGTTGGGTCCTCTTCCCGGGACTTGTACGACAATGAACTAAATCTCTGTTAAAACAAACACAAACCAAGGGAAGGTATAGTTTGATCCAACCTTTCTTTTGCATATGTTTTGACACATCTATCTATAAAGATGTTTTCAAATGATTTTTGGGGAAGAACTTTTTCTACAAAGAAATTATGTCAAGCAACTGAGGATAAACACATAAAAAATCTACTGTGTGACTTTTTCAATACCCAGTAGTATTAAATCCCCAATGCTCTTCCTGATCACTGGTGAATTCAACCCTCCAGTGAGTCCTTGATGTTGCTCCCTGTCATACCGCACTTGCTAGTACACCCGGTCCCTGCTCTCCTAGCTGTCCACTTCCCACTTTCTTCTCTTTCCCCAGACTCCAACACCTTCTTAACCCATCCTTAGTCCTAGCTGGTGACCTTGAGAAAACTGAAGAAATCAGAAGACATGTCCATGAACTTGTACCCCACCCTGCCCCCATCTCCGCATTCTTGAATTTTCCTTCCTCCCTGTCACCAAAGAACTCTCTTTAAAGTGACCCCCTCTTGGGGCGCCTGGGTGGCTCAGTCAGTTAAGCGACTGCCTTCGGCTCAGGTCATGATCCCAGGGTCCTGGGATTGAGCCCTGTTATCAGGCTCCCTGCTAAGCTCCCTTTTCCCTCTGGCCCTCCCCTGCTCATGCTTTCTCTCTCTCTCCGTCAAATAAATAAATAAAATCTTTAAAAAATAATAATAAAAAATAAAGGTTTAGG